GAAGAGAGAGAGACCGCCAAAATTTTTGAATGTGAAGGGACGTGAGGGTTGGCTGCTCGAGGCCAATAAACGAGCGACGCGTGTCCTAATTAATGGCGGCGTCAGAGCTGAAGAGACAGGGAGGCGATATGAGGCGTCGACCGAGCAAGTTTGGAAACTAGGCATGTTGACTAGCATGGTTAGCCACTTGCAAACTGAGAACCGAAGAAGAGTCTACCCCGGTTGGATCATGTAATCCCAATCACGCTTATGCAGATGAATTAAGGGGCAATTGAGAGGGAGATTTTATGAGTTGAAATGGGCCATGGAAAAGGCCGGGCAAGTTGAGTGCCAAACACGTTTGGGTCGTGGTATCTTGGACTTGTCCAGAGAGGTTTTGCTTGGTTAATGCACAGGGCCATGTTAGGCCAAGCTACTTGGGCTCATTTGTGTGGAAACTGGGCTACCTGAAGTTGCTCGGCCGAGATGACTGCCCGTCATTCCAGATTCCACGGTTCGTGTGTTCAGCTCGGCGGGAAGGCCTACAGCTAACCGGCCCGACCTACCTTGAGCTCGGCTTGCCGGAATGCAACCAAGCTCGGTCGTTCTGGGGCTCGGGGAGTGGATTGCTCCGATATGCCACAGTAGCGCGGTCATAAGAAGCCGAGGTGGTTCCGCCGGTCTGTCGGGCTCCGCCGAGATATCCTGACAGTTTGGTTAGGTGATGATTGCTGGATTTGTGCTGACAGATGGGATAGCAACACCATGTGTCGAGAGACTAATGGGAGTAGATTTGGGGCGCAAAAGGTATATATGCGTGTCTGCGCCCCCCCATGCGGGCAGGTGATCATTTGGTGAGATACACTAAACACTGAACTCTCTCCTCTCTCTCTCTCTATCCCTGAGTGTGTGCTAACTTGACCGTCGGAGGGGTTTTCTGGCCACACACCGCCAGGTAGCTCACCGCCGTTGTGTTCGCAAGACGATCAGATAGACACGGAGCTTGGAAGAAAGGAGTATGGGCTCGCCGGAATATTTGCTCCCCATACAAGTACATTTTGCTATGTTTTTTCGCTCTAATTTCCCCATTTATTCTTTTTTGGGGGGCAATATTCTGGACATTCCGGAGAGTCTCCAACAATGTTCTTAACGTCCAGCGAACGTTTTGGATATTCCGGCGACTTCCATTGACGTTCAGAACACTCATGTGAGCTTCTGACAATACTCCAATGACTTCTCGGTGATACTCTAGCGACTTCCTGGTGATGTTGAACATTCCGACGAGTCTTCAGTGACCGTCTGACGGAAGTCCGACAATAGTGGGATGTAGCAACGTCTGTAAATTTAAAATATATATATATATATAGGTATATATATAAGATTTTTTATAACAATTAAAAATATATAGGACTAATTGGTGCAAGTATTTTATTTTAGAATTACATGAGTTTTGAACTTTGTATATGGAACTTATTGGTAAGTTTCCCATAATACTTTAATATTTAAAATTTATATAGCATTAATCTAATATGGGCTATCCAAAACTAGGGCCCCAAATTTATAACTGCCACTAGTCCAAGGTAATGGGCCTAACTTACATTGCTATGGATTCTCTCAATTCTAATATCTTTTCTTATAACAAAAATGACTTTAAAACACACCAAAAGAAAATTTTATTATATATAATTTATTTACAATTATTCAGTATTATATATATATATATATATATAATTCATTTACAATTATTCAGTATCTTTAAAATAATTTTAATTAAGGGTATATCAATAAGAAAAACAAAAAAGCTTGAGATTTATAAAACATAATTTATAAATTTACCTATAATAATGTACATTACTCTATATTAATTATTTATTTGTCTAAAAATCAACATAACGACTCCAACATTTCTTTATGGGGATTTTCTTTTTTAAGATCCCTGGTATTAAGACTTTATAGTATAAAAGACACTCAATATTTTCATAATGTCTAAGGTCCCTCAACATCGATCCAGAGAAAATTCAATCCAGAGAATTTCTCTGGTTGAATTTTCTCTGGACTTCATAGAGAATTTCTCTGGTCAAATTTTCTCTGGACTTCACAGAGAAATTCTGGTTCACAAAGCTTCATTATTATTGAGAATTTCTTTGGATTATAAATTTAAATTGTTGAGAATTTCTCTAGACTATAAATCTGTAATTTATTGCAGGGTGCATTCACAAGGCTTCATTATTATTCAGAAGCAAAAGGGAAACAATAATTATAAGCAAACCAGATACTTTGGGAAAGATGAGGAATGAAGTTAGAAGAAATTTTCTTTGGTTGTCTCTTTTGGTGCTGAAGAAACTTTAGGGGCCTTATTCACCACAGGCTCAGGTTGTATTGGGACCTCTGATTCTTGATCATGCTCTTCATCTGCCTCTTCATCACCTTCATTAAGAATGTCTTCTTCGCTTTCACTTTCTTGTAATTCAACATCATATTTGAGTAATAGTTTTCCAAGACTCGTCATTTTTTTTAACCAGCTATTAATATAATGCCACAAGTGAAAAACATATGAATCCTGAATTGCTCAAAACCAGTAAAACTTCACTCAACTCAACGAGTCTTTGTCCCAAATACTTAGGGTCGCTACATGGCTCCATCTCTTTCAAACTAGGAAAATATTAAAAGATAACAAAACAAAAGAGAACGGAACTATTAATCAAGAAGTAAAAGTCATAATTGATATATGTATATGTGTTTATATTACAGGGTTAATCTGCATCAGATACAAATTCTAAAATCTTACATGGAAAGCTTGTTTCAATCAAGTATCACAATATTAATTGTCGAATGGTCTCCAGTTGATAGCATGAATGCAAACAGAAATTCCAACCCATCTTCATTCTTGGACCTTGCTTCTTAATATTGTGAAAACAGGTTTCAACTTTTATGACTACATCTCTTACACATTGAGATTGAACCAACCCAAGCCAATGATTCTATCTCAACAAGCAATCATCATTCTATAGAAACTACAGTGCCATTGTCGAATATGGTGCAAACTTCAAATATTATGGCTAGAAACTCGTTCATAAAGAAATTATTATTTTGTCCAAAACTGAAGCTTCATTTGTCTCAATGGAAAATAACAAATTAAAAGCCCATCCTTTGAAAATTCGGTCCAAAGAAAATTGCCAAATTTAGAGAAAATTCAAGGGTAATCCAAAGAAAATTACCAAATTCAGAAAAAATTCATGAGTAATCCAAAGAAAATGCCAAATCCAGAAAAAATTCAAGGGTAATCCAGAGAAAATTGTCAAATTCAAAGAAAATTTGATCCAGAGAAAATTGCCAAATCCAGAGAAAATTCAAGGGTAATCCAGAGAAAAATTGCCAAATCCAGAAAAAAAAATGGCCAAATCCAGAGAAATTCAAGCAATCCAGAGAAATTCAACACTGTCAACCCAAAATTTCTCTAGCTTGTAGAAAACATTATATTCAACACTGTCAACACAAACAATATATGCATACATATATATATATATACACATTTATCAACAATGAGGAGATAGAACTAACTAATTTTTCTTTTAAACCTGAAGACGTTGTAGAACTTGAGGAGGTTGCTTTCAATGCCGCCGTCGCCAAATTCAGCGAAGAAGGAGGAGCCGAGGCGGCGGTGACACATATCCACGGTGGCTAGGGTTGAGCTGTGGAGAGCCATTTCAGTGACGGGGCCGAGGCGGAAGGTGAAGGAGGAGGATGATTGGGATTGCGATGTGCCCTTTGCCATTGTTGAAACAGTGCAGAGATTTCAAGACTTCAGCGATGAAGAAAATAGAAGAAAGAGAGAGAGAGAATTAGAGATTTTAGCGAGAGAAGGAGACGCAGAGATCGGTGGGTTGATTTGAGATAGTCAAATTTCTCTGTAATATATAGGTGTGGGGTTAAGAGACCTTAGACATCATAAAATAACATTGTAGACCTCTTTCATTATTAAAAATTGAAGAAAGACCTTATACTAATTTTCTCTTTCTTTATCTATAAATATATTTTTTTGAAATTAAAAAATTTCCCAAGATTTGACCTCAGTCTAAATCAAATCATAAAATTTAATTGTTTCAATTTAAACCATAAACTTTTAAAATAATTTTATTTTTAACCATTGGTATATATCTGTTAGTTCTAACAAAAGAAGAAAAAAAATGATAATTTAGATAATTTAATCATTTTTTTCTTCATCATTTTTGACAACCACTTCTTTTCCTTACCATCGGCCATCACCACTTCTCATCTTTCTTAATCCACTGCCATTCATTTATTCTTTTTTTTTCTTTTTCCGGCCATCGCTACTCTTTCCATTCCCAACTCACGACCACTGTCGTATACCTTCTCAATCCATATTCACTATTGTCATCCAATTAAAGCTGAAAACGAGTCATGTCGATATGAGTCGAGACGAGTAATATATTATTCAAACTTGGCTTGATAATGTAATGAACTTAAAATTATATTAAATTTTGGATTATTTACCTAACGAGTCGATTTTGGATAAATTTTTAACAAGCCACGATTAAGCTTGAATAGTTTAATTTTTTATAATCCATATAAATTTATCAAGCTGAGGATCTAGTTATTGTTTAAACTTGGCTTAAAAACTTAATGAGTTTAAAATTATATTCTAACTTAGCTTGTTTATATTAACGAATCGATCTCAAACGAGTTTTTAACAAACAGAATAAAAGTCATGATCGAATAACTTGGTTTGTTTAACACTCCTACATCCAATAACACTAAAAAAAAAAAATTTTAATTGTCTAAATTGTCCATGTTCTATTAGTTATAATTAATGAATGGTTGGCATTAATATTATTTTTAAATTAAAAGATTAAATTGAAATAATTAAAAATTATGATTTAATTTGTTATCAATATTTTAAAACTCAGTGTTTTTTTTTTTTTTTTTTTTCAACAAAAATTTATAATTTGACGGTGACCAAAGTGAGGTGTAAACACAATTCTCCTATTTCTCACTTGACATTTCTGTATTCCCCAAATGACCTCTCAATCTTTGAAATATTTTCATCTTCCGCCTCCCCACCAAACAGTGACACTTGTTCCCAACTGTGACACTTGTTAGTGGCTGCTTCTCTGAGTTTGCATGAACTCTACCGAACATCCTTAATACCCAAGTCCCCAAATTCACAAATCAGAACATAAACAATCCAATCTCTCTCTTCTTTCTTTCTCTCCAATTTTCTTTTCCCGGAAAATTTCACATTCTTGGGTTCTGGGTCCCTTTCAATCTCGAAAATGAGGTGGGAAAAGTTGCAGATACAGAGCACGGTAGGGGAAGGATGTGGGCCAGGAAAGAGGTGGGGACACACCTGCAACGCCATTAGAGGGGGAAAGCTTCTCTACGTTTTCGGTGGTTATGGCAAAGATGAGTGTCGCACCAATCAAGTACACGTCTTGGACACTGGTGACAGTCTTCAAGCAATTCTGGGTTTTGAATCTATACAATTTTTTGCTTACAGATTGTCATATTGAAGCTTTTTTGATATTTTGTTTTTTTACATTGCCAATTAATCGTTCATTATGTGTTTATATGTTGGACTGAATGCCCTATATGCGTTGCGAAATATAAGTGTATTTCATGTTGGGTCATCTTCTCTTCATTTTGAATCTATACAATTTTGCTACAGATTGTTATTAGAGCTTTGAGACTAGTTTTGTTGTTTTTGTTTTTTGACTATGCTAATTAAATTAACCATTGATTATATGTTTTGTTGTTAATTTTTTTTTCAAGGGTTTTATTAGGTTTATGTATATAGGTTTACGTGATCAGTGTCAATACTATAAGTTGGAGTGAATGCCCTATGTGGGTTGTGAAATTTCGGGTATTTCTTGTTGGGTTAATTGTTAGCATTCTTCAATGTCGTCTTTGTGGTCAACATTTTTCATGATTAGTTTTTATTTTTTATTACCAAACAATATTTTTTTCAAACAAATTTCTCAAGTGAGTTGTTTTAAACTTATTTTCCAAACATAAGTAGTTCTTTGAAGTCGGCTTAAATTCTTGTTTTGAAAACATGACTTGATTGACACTGACACGATTTCAATTAACTTATTGTAAAATTTTTGAAAACACGAAGACGTGTTTTCAAAACTTAACCCCCCAGTTTGTGAAATAAGTTAAAATTTATAACTTGCATTTGGGAAATTTGTTTAAAAATAAAAGGGGTTTGGTGAATAACACGGTCTCATATATGTACTTGCAATAGTGCACTTGCATTTTCATGTGGGTGTTGGCATTTTCAAGTGTGAGTTGTTTGTTTTTTTTCTTATATGTATATTGTTGTGTGCAGCTACACGGGCATGGAGTCAACCTCTGATAAAAGGCACACCACCGGTGCCCAGGGACAGCCATAGCTGTACCACTGTTGCTGATAATCTGTTTGTGTTTGGGGGTACAGATGGAATGAACCCTCTTAAGGATTTGCATATCTTAGACACCTGTGAGTTACCACTTACTTTTCTCTTTTGCATTTCTCATCTGTTTAACAATTGAGTTATTTAGTTTTATAGTATGTATCGAATAGCTATGATGGTATTATTTGACTGAAGTGATCCTAAAATTGCTAAACATAGTTTTGTTTACATCTTGTGTGAGTTTTGTTTACATCTCATGTTCATCTCCTCAGCAGTGTTGCCAATGATACTAGATCTATGAAGAACTATATTAATTCGTGTTGAATTGTTTTTATTTATTTATTTATTGTATTTTGCATCACTCTGATCTGTACTTCCTTGTGTGTTTTATAAATACATAGCATCAAATACATGGATCTCACCAACTGTAAGAGGTGAGGTACCAGAGGCACGGGAAGGCCACAGCGCGGCACTAATTGGCAAACGACTTTTCATATTTGGTGGCTGCGGAAAATCTTCAGATAATGCAGATGAAAAGCTTTATGATGATCTCTACATTTTGAATACGGGTAAGTTTATTGATTGCCAAGAGTTTATGGGGCAATGTTGTTTCTCTATCACTCCGAATGCAATATTTATGTAATGCATTACTATGGGATTGTCCCTTTTTTTTCAGTCTTGTTTAAAAAAAGCCTGGTGGTAGCTAAAGCATAGGTTTTAATTTATTCTTCATGATTTTTGAAGGGCTATTGATTTGCATGAATCCTAGCCACTTGACCCCAGCTTTGTAATACTTTGATTCAGAGAACAAAGTGGAAAAGAAAAGGTTATTACTCACCTTCCTCCTCGTTTGTGTAGAAACTTTTGTATGGACATGTGCTGTAACATCAGGTGCTCCTCCACCTAAGTGCGATAGCCATACATGCTCATCTTGGAAGAACAAAATCATCGTAATTGGTGGTGAAGACGCATATTATCTCTCTGATGTTCATATCCTTGATGCAGGTATCAATTCTTCTTGAAATTACCCATATTGACTGATTGCCAAGATAGAATGGAAACTAAAACTTTCAATTTGCTAGAGCCTGTAGTAATTGTATCTGGTTAACAACTATAGTAGTGGCACTGTTTTAATAGATACTCTTATGTGGGGGAAGCTGAACACTTCAGGCCAACTCTTGCCACCTCGAGCTGGGCATACAACTGTTGCCTTGGGAAAGAACTTGTTTGTCTTTGGGGGTTTCACTGATGAGTCGAGCCTATATGATGACATTCATATGCTTGATGTCGGTATGTAATGAAATGACCATGCTTCTTAGGTTCAGAGTATAAAGTTGTTAGTATCTCTTTCTCATCATTGTAAACTATACTTTTGAAGCTCATATTTTTCTATTCTGTCAATATTTCTGTAGATACTGGTGTGTGGACCAAGGTGATGTCTGCTACAGGTGAGGGGCCTTCTCCTAGATTTTCCATGGCCGGGGACAGTTTGGATCCACAAAAAGGTGGTGTTTTTGTATTCATTGGTGGTTGTAGTAAGAATCTTGAAGCATTGGATGACATGTATTACTTTCACACAGGTTTAGTTATTGAATTTAAATTTCTTTGCTGCTTCCAGGTGCCATTTATTTCTGTAAATATCTATTATATACTAAGACTATTTTAATGAAATTTCACACTAGGACTTGCAAGGGAAAATGAGCGAGATGAACGACGGGTGGAGAAGTTGTCTTTGAGGAAGCAGCTGAAGTTAATGTGTCAACAACAAAATATACTTGCTTCCCCTGTAAATGATAAGGCACTGATCAGAACTGAGACCAACTCTGAGCTCTTCCAACCCACGTCCACGCCAAGTATAGAAGCAAGTAAGAGCTAATCTACTCTTATCTTAGAATGATTCTACATTGAGCAAATATGATATTTCATTGCCTTTTGTTTTCAATTCTGTTAGTAGTACAAGATATTATTTAAGGATGGAAAATAAACGAGGTGTATGACAACAATTTGGAAATTAATCGAAATCGGAAACATGATATATGTTCTTTCTTTCTTTCATTCACTTTTGTTATTGATAGTTAGACAGAGTAGTACATTTATTTTCCATTATTTGTGTGATACATGTAGTTATTGTTAGACTGCAAATGTACTCGACTCAGCTAAGGATCATTTCCTCTTTTTCTTTCTTTATTCTTCTTCTTTTTTGTCTGGATAGCTAAACAAAGTAGTAAAAAAAAAAAAGGGGGTTTCCATTTGCTTTGTGATCCTTGTGGATATTGTTAGCCTGCAAATGAACTCAAACTTGGTTGAGGCTAATTCATACTCACTCATGAAAGTAATATTCCAGCTTGGTTATTGGATGAGCTGTACCCAGGGAGACTGAGCTTGGTTCAGTTGGCCACCCGCTCATTTTTGTAGTGTATGGGCTTCCAGCATACATGCCACGTACTTACTGTTGCATCCTCATCATTTGGTGCCTTTAATGAAATATCGTTATGTATGAAATAAATGAAGAACGATAGATAAAGAGTAATCTGCTGAAGGTTTAGCTGCTTTGAGCCTTTGTGTTTTTCCTTCATTGTTTGCATATCGACTGGTAGAGAAAGTTTTGTGGAGATTAAGTGGGAATACTCTGCCATGGCAGGCTTGCTTTTTTAATTAACCTTTCGTAGTCAATTAAAATTTTCTTTTTTAATTATACTTAACACATATGAGTGTCACGCCATCATTATATGGTGTCTTTTAATGATATGTCTTTGCTTATCAAAAAAAAAAAAAGAAGAAAAGAGAATCAGGTAGTCAGTCAGTGTGCTAACCCAGGAACTCGGTAGTAATGGAGTTCTGAGAAGTTGATGATCTTGCTAATATTCTTTTCTGACATCAATAAATATGTATTGGCTAATTTTTGAGAAAATGACAATGTTTGTAAATCTTGGATTCCAAAGGATATCAGATGTGTATCTAATAAGCAGTTATTCAAATGCAGGCAAACGTAATATATCTTTGAGGGAATACCATCCTTTTCCAGGGAAGAGGGCATTTCGAGCCAAGGTGACCAAAAACTTCCCAGTTGGTTTCTCAATTGAAACTTTCATTGACGGAAAGCTTCTTCGTGGGGTATTGTTTACCAACAAGTTACGCTTTTACCATCCAAACAATGACTCTAAAAGGTGAAATATGGTAATTTTGTATCACTAATTTTGGAAGTCAACAAAACATCAGTTGCTCGAAAGCCATGTTTCCTGAAAATTCTGATTCAAATAGTTATACTATATTCTCAAATCAGGAAAAAGGGAGCTGTGAAAACCGATGGTTTTAAGCTAAATGATGATCAAAAATCTAACTCGGAAACTGCAAGACCAATCACACAGGATAAAATAGATGATGGGAAGGTAGATGCTGTTCATGGAATGAGTCCGGCACCTTCTGATGCTTCTCAGCCCCGTGAGGTTACACCTTATTTCCCTTTTTTCAGATGGAAGAACTCCTAGGCTGTGTTTGGATTAAGGTTTTGGGAAGGGATTTGTGGAGGGAAAGGAGGGGTGACCGTTGGTTCAATGGTTAAAACTTGGCCTAATAACCTTGAGGTTATGGGTTCAAGTCTTGGGGCCACCACTTTGTGCATTATGTCAAAGGTTAGGTGTGTACTCAATCTTTCCCCTCCTAAACACACATTAATGTGTACTAATTGAGCGTTGTTGTTTTTTTTTAATTTGTGGAGGGAAAAGAAAAAATGAAGGAAAAATTTAACGAAATAGAAGCTAAATTTGTTTCACTTTTTCCCTTTCTTTTCCTTCCTTTCACAAATCACCACTCAAATCCTTGATCCATAAACAACCTTAGAATTCTTTTCTCTTGCAGAACACTAAATTTTGCTATATTTCATGCAATGAAGCATTTTGGTCCTGCTAGTATTCATGTTTTAAATTATAATGACCATAATATATGTATTCATGTGCTGGTAACAATATTCCACAAACATGATGCCCTCTGCTTAAGCGTGAAACAGCGTGGATCTTGCATCTCTTTCTGCTTAAGACCAAGTTGGATCTGTTTGGTTGAGTTTTCAAAACTTGTTTTATGATTATTTTTTAAAAAAAAAAAAATTAATAGAAATTAGTTTGACAAAAATAAACACCAAAAAAGAGATTTGAATTTTTAAAATTTATTTCTGCCTCAAAAAAAGAGAAAACCATAGGAAAATAATGAGTATTTTTTTTATTTTTTTCATGGAACTAGTTTTTGAATTTTTTTCAGAAATAGATTAAAAACAAACTCAACCAAACAGAGATGCATAGAAGTGGAAGTGAGAAGGATTGAGGAAGAGAATAGCGCACAGAGTGCTATATTAGGTTCCTGTGGCTGTTTTCATGTGGTATACATACACCGTGACATTAATGAAATTCTTATGGAGAAATTATTACATAGACCCAATGTTGAATTCCCCCATTATTGGAGTAGGTCAATTAACATTGAGTTTAGACAGTCGAGCATTTTTAAAGTGCTCCAGAACATTTAGGCTTTGTTTGGCATTTTATACATTGTATTGTAGCAAAGTAAATTTTGGACTTGAACTGCCTAGAAACTGCTGAATGCTGGGAAGTCTAAAACCTTTGGCCACTGTGTTTGTGAAGTACCGAAGGTTCTGGAAAGTGCTATTTTACCTGTTTGACAAGGACTTTGAATGAAGCCTTTCTTGAGCTACTATGACTCATGGCACTTCCCATAAATTGATATCATACCTGTCTAGTAGAAAATTTGAAAGAGATCAAATGTGACCAAATTTATAAGAGTTGGCTTGTCAATTAAAGGAATATAATTTTTATCCTTCAGGATTTCTAAAACTTATATTTCATCATTCACTTTGAAAGAAAAAAATATGAATCAGAAAAATTTTAGATTATTAAGGTTTTCATATACACCATGAGAGAAGCTGGAATGACAAATTGCATGATATCATTTCTGGTGTTTATGGTACAGATAGATTGTTGTGAAATGTCTTATATTTTTACTGTACAGTCAGATTTACTATAAAGGTCCTTTTACAAACAGCCAGGGCCCAGGACCAGGAGGTATTTATTGTATTTTTTGGCTTGGGTTTTCAGTGTAAGAGTGACAACATTGTAGCAGTTGATTTGAGAGATTCAGAGCTCTAAAATCCTTATTGTGCATAGTAGATTTGATCTGTTCCTCTCTGTGGACTTTGCGCACATTGTCAACCCACGTATATCTTGTGTTCAACGTGTTTAATTGTTTATCTCTACTGTTTTTGTTATTGGAAATTAGAACCATTCAATTGCTGCAAAACACAGATGGTCTATGATTGAATGGAAAACATATTTTTGTTTGGATATTCTTATGAACTTGTTTGCTTCTCTTTTGTCACTCCCTCTGTGATTAAAACTTGGAGGTTTTCTATCTTTGTTATTGCAGATAGGGCAGGGCATAATTGCTTGAAGCAGTTGGTGATAACTAAAATTAACAAACCAGTCTTTGTACATTTGTCACTCCAAGGTGGCCATAGATGCAGTTGACAGGTCATTATAGAGTTTGTTCTTCCAAACTGGTGAGATATGAGTTTAATCCATAATAGACTTTAGTTCTATGTATTGTCTTTCTTCTAAAACTTCAGTACAGTTACTGCTTCGGATTCAACTACATCATACACTCAGATCTTTCAAGAAAAAAAGTTTTGCTCATTACAATGTTGGTGATTGTTGTGAATGTATTTCTAATAGTAGTAGACTTTATTTGCTGTTGTGGCCATAATTCTCGAAGTTGCTTTGGATATATCAGTGTTATATGTGCCAGTTGCAACATCATGCCCCATCAGCTCTTCCAACACTATAGCCAGGTCCTCCGGTAAAATTTTATTCAGACCAGGGCCACCACATAAGCCCAGTTTTTTCTTGGGGAACAAAAGAAGAGAGGTTAGCTAAAAAAAAATGCTAAAACTCATGGAATCTGGTTGATTTTTTAATTATTATTTTTTTCCACATTTACCTTTTGTTTGTTTGTTGAGAAATTGAGATGAAAATAAAAGGAAAGTGAAATTTGGAGCTCATTTTATGTCACTGTGGTTAGTGATGCAAGTAACTGGATTAGTTTTTTTTTGTTTTTTTTTTTTGAAGCATAAAATTTATTTGGCATACTGATTTTGAAAAAGGAAAATTTTGTTTGAAAAAAGTTCACAATTTTAGAATTCCAAAAACTTGTTTTTGAATTTAAAAAAAATATTTTTGCACAAAAAATAAAAATTGGTGTTTTCAGACTGTTGTTTAGTATAACCTAGTGACCTGAGAAATGCTGGAATTTTTTTATAGCCATTCATATATTACACACAATAGAATGGAGGAATAAAACACAAATGAAAAAGAATGTGTTTCGATGCTTGGAAATCTGGAAGGAAAATTGACCATCCTAGCTGTTATTTGAGCTGACTTAGGCTCACATACAAGATCCATAATTTTACTGGAGAATCGGCACTTATAGCAAGATGAGCATGTATTTTGTTTTCATTTTTTCATGTTTCCAAAAATAAGACAGTTAAAAAAAAAAATTTAAAACACCTACCCTTTTCATTATTGTGGCGTTTCCTAAAAAATTATCATTTCCTGAAAAAAAAATTTTAAAAAAATCAGAACTACAATTACTGAGTCAAAACTACAAACCGTAAGTCCGAGAGAAAAATGGGCATTTCACATGCCCGTGCAATTGTGTTACCAAACTGCCTTTGGTTTCAGAACCGTGTTTTGTGAGCTTATACAAGCGACACACCAAATACTAAGAAAATAGGAAACACACTGAATTGATTAACAATTGATAAGCACGGTAATTATGGACTGTTATTGCATCAAACTTGAGTCTTAGAGAACTTGAAAGTAAATCCGTTCTCAACGTTCCAAACAAAGAAAAGACTACATATTACATGATTACTCAAATGTCTGCAGGTGGACTAGAATAAGGAAATATTGTTTGGCCCAAACTTTAATGGAACCTGGACAAACAGTAATGAACTTTCCTTAACCGTTGATACCACCAGGTAATTAGTTGCTGCCACCACCAAACAGGTAACCCAGGGAAGATCCACCACCTGGGGCTGCATGGACTTTAGTCGAAGGCCGATCCTATGCAGAATCAAAAAATAATTCAAAGTCATCAAAAAGGAAATTTGTAGTCACTATAAAGTACAATCATGTGTTAAAAGTCACAAAAAAAGATTGCCCTTGGATTATCACAGGAGGGAAATGAAAAATATCTCTTACGCACCCAAAAATAAATATGAAACTTTTCCCCAAGGAAAGGGTAACAGTGTGAACCACAAATAGAATGAACTTCTCCAGGCAGTGCATTTATATGCTTCCAAGTTCCAAGTTTCTCCGTCAATTTTATAAATTATAATATCAGAGAACTCTGTAATGTTATAAATTATAGAAACCCTGTATGGTGAGAAATTGTACAATTTGACAACTCTTAATACCTAAACATTTATAATGATGCAAGTGGTTAAGAAAAAATATCAACAATCTTGGTGCCTTCGACCCCCCTCATGCCTCTTGTAACATATACTCGCGCATTCATACTTCAACTCTTAAGCATATCATTCATAAAAATAATAAGGAGTAGTTTGGGGTGTCCTAAATAAGTGCACTTTTTGTCGTTTTGGACTAAAAAATTGAAGAAGAAAATATAGATGTTTGGGTTAACTTTTTGACTTTTTATGAAAAAATGTGTAATAAAAAATTGTAAAAATTGGTTTATAGGAGAAAATTAGGATTGAGAGTTGTGCAGCTGTAATTGTTGACTTTTGGTGAATAGTGTTAACTTTTTAACTTTTTGACTTTTCCTAGACATGCCAAACTTGGCCTAAATAAATTCCATTGACCTTCGAAGTAGGTTTTTATTGTGACAAACATGATAATGAAGAACAAGATGCTAGCAATTGTCCTAAATAAATTCCATTGACCTTCGAAGTAGGTTTTTATTGTGACAAACATGATAATGAAGAACAAGATGCTAGCAATTGTCCTAAAATTGACAGTGGATACATGAAAACATCTTGGAGCCCCTGTGCATCTACAAGGGTGAGGTGGCAAACGTCATTTGGCCATTAACACAAGGAACACAAATGGCAGCAACAAGACCATCAAAAGGCAGTAAGTGGAAGTGCAGCAATGCTAAAATATCATAATATTTTTCTACCCCGGAAGGTGTAATATTTTATTAGAAAAAAAGAAAGAATTAAAAATGTCATCATGGAACACCAAGAGTTGTAATGATCTCCATTCCTAACATCAATTGCAAGTTCATACGATCTTAGTTAACTTCACACTTTCCAGTTATACTACAAAAGTTTCCCATGGTGTTTCAAAACAAAAGCCAATCCAGCCACAAATATTTTTTGCTTTTAGTTCTAAGAAAATCATGATGGCTAGCCTCTCCAATCAAAACTATGATGTAATACTGTATGCATTAATAGAAGCATCCGAAATAGACTTGTGTGACCAACAACAAACCATAACTGTGACTGAGATCCTACCGTGAGGAAGTTGCCAGTGTTCTGGCCATCAGCTCTATGATAGTTGTTCGCATTGTTTCCTGGGATGCCTGCTGGAATCTGCTTACTAACATCTCCTGCTGGTGGTGGTGCTGTGGCAGTAGGCTTTTGAGGAGGCTCATTGCTAGCAACCTTTCCAGGATTTTGAGCAGCTTCAACATTGCTAGTGGTGGCTTTTGGAGCCTCACCACTTCCAAAAAGGTAGCCAAGAGAACTCTGTCCCCCACCGCTGCTGACTCCACGACCCATTATGAAATCTGAATTTGTTAATAGTACTCTCCAAAAAAACCCTGCAGAAATTTCCAAGCATGTATGAAAGAGATAATGTGAGCACAACACATAGGGAGCAGAAAAGAGCTTCAACAAAATTGTTAGGTTAAACTGAAGTTGTTGACACAAATCAAGCAATGCATACAACACAGATGAGCATAAGCAACTCATGTTGCTCATGTCAGATAAAGTTAGTTGTGTCATGCTCAGGGAAGTTCCACCCTAAAAATTATGCTTGGGGGCTATAGCTCTTACTGATACATTAGGAGCCTAAGAGCCCTGTGTCATTGTTCAAGTCAAATAGAACTCATGAATGATTGACAGATCAATCTGTTGAAGAATGTGATACAGAAAAACAAAAAACAAAAAAACAAAATATCTGACTGAATATCGTTATTTTTATAGGATTTTAAAAGCTTGACATTGAAATTTAGCCAGCTTCAACAGGCCTTGTCAGAATGCATGCAGAGAATAATCACAAAATCCAACCAAGTTCACTGATCATGTTGCTTTTTCACAAACTTGTCAGTGTCACAACTGCATCCGCATGCAAAATTGGCACCCATGCCAAAAACGAAAACAAAAAAACAAAAACCAACAACAACGAAAACCAAAACCAAAACCAAATGTGATGTGAATTCATATGACGTTGATAATGTTGTCCTGTGATGGACATACCCATTCATGAGGTACTTCATGTCAAAACAATAGAAAAGAAGAATAAGAATCACCGTTGTTCACAAAAACAAAACCAGCCTCTTAGATTCTGCTAAACTTAACAACGGAATTGCATCGCAGTCCGTGCAAACAACTAATTTAAAACAAAGAAATATGTGAAGTAGTGAGGTTGCAAAAACTCAAGTCTGGACAAAAAAACTTTTCATTCATGAAACTCTAGATCTATCATAACAAACAAAAGGCAGTAAATATCAATTGCATATAAGAGGCCCTAGTTAACCCATTTCCAAAATACAACCCTCCATCTTGAGCATCAATGATTGAACAGAAAAGGCCCAATCACTCTTCCAATTAAAAACAACAATATAATCCCAATTAATCAAATCTAAAACCTTATTGCTCAAAAGAAGTCCAATCACATTGTACTACATAAGTGAACTAAAAATCATCACATTTTCAGATTATTCTTTAAATTTTGGGGTGGCAATAAAGAAACCCTAAATGCAAATCGTGTAAATATCACAAATTAACAAAGATAAACGTCATTATCACAACATCGCATACAAAGATCGTAAGCACAATTTTGGGACGCTGGTTACAAATCGCTTATGAATTGAAAATCACAATGTGAGGCTCGATGTGATGCGTATGTATAGATCTAGATGAAATGAGCAAAAGATCTGAAGCAACAGACACAATCAAAGCAGTGAGAGAGAAAAGGGGAAGATGATCTTACAGTAGAGCGAGAGTAGAGAGAGAGAGAGAGAGAGAGAGAGAGTGGTGAGACCTGTTTCTGCGTGGTGAGAGAGTTCTTGGAATCAGATCTGAAGCGAAGTTAGGGCGAAGAATCGCACTTTATACAACTTTTTACTGTTGATGAATGCGCTGTATTATCATTATATTTACAAGATCTGTTTGGATTTGTATACCAAAAAATGCAAAATATAAAAGACCAAAAATGTTTGGTGGTTCACCGGGTAGCTCGGCTCCGCCCGAATGGTGTGACTGGATGATTGCTCAGACGATTGGTGTCGTTTTATTTTTTTTTATTTTTTATTTTTTATTTTTTTGATTAATTATGATTGTCACTCTTATAATTTAGGGATAGTTAGAAATAATATAAATAAATAAACTTTTTGATTTCTTACGAAAAGATATGTAAAAAAATAGAGAGATGATGTGATAAAAATAAATAAAAAAGACAAATTATTTAGGAGATGTCAAACCATCCCTTAATGTGTCAATTAATATCTATTTTAACAAACAGTATATATGAATTCAATCAATTTGAATGAGTTATTGTTGAATATAAATAAAAATAATAGTTATATTTTTTTTTTGATTTTTTTTAAGGTCCCTGGTATTAAAATTTTACAGTATAAAAAAAACCAAATATTTTCATAATGTCTAAGGTCCCTCAATTTGATCCAGAGAAATTTCATCTAGAGAATTTCATTTAGAGAATTTCTCTGGACTTCCCAGAGAAATTCCCATCTAGAGAAATTTCTCCCTAGAATTTCTCTAGACCTCTGAATGTGAACGTGGTAAGAATGCAAGCATCAAACAACACTGATTTGCTTCTATTTTCCCTAACAGCAACAGGTTTAACTATTGTATCAACATCAATGATACTTCTGCAGGCATGTTTGTACACTTCATCCCATTATGTTTTCTCTTTTCAACATCATTTCTTGAAGCAAGATATATCCATGCATGATTTGCAGCTGGAGAAATATTTTTCAATATGGAACATTGATATTGCTTTGTGGAGAATTTCTCTGGATGAGAATTTCTCTGGAGAGAATAAAAGATGAAATCGAACTGCTCGAAGCTTAGTGAGATGGCGTAGAGATCAAATAGCGAGAGAAAGAGAGAGAGAGAGATGAATCATATTCATCTTCTCTGTATATTGGATGAGTCACATTATCTAAAACCCAATCTCCTTTGAAGAGGGGTTCAAACTAGAGAAAATTACACATGACAAAGAAAATTAAACATGGCAAAGAATTTCTCTCCAAAGAAATTCTAGGAAGGTCAGAGAAATTTTGGATTCCAATCTAGAGATTTTCTCTGGATTTTCAGAGAATTTCTTTGGATTTTCTCTGAATTTTCTTTGGATTTCAAGTGAACTATAAAGCATAAAGTTTGTTTGGTTGCCAAGAAAAATAAGTGAAAAATAATTTCCATCCACAGAATACTATGCTAATTGATGATAAGTACCAAATTAAACCACATCTTTTCCCCTTTTCAAGCACAGTATTGTATCTTCATCATCTCACTATGATTACTAAGCGCATGAATAAAAAGAAATATAAAAAAAAAAATTAGATACTTTTAATTGAACTTAATAATTTCATATCATAATAAGCAATGTGCATTAAAAGCAGTTGTGGCTCAGCATTACAATAACAAACAACACAATTTACAGCATAAAACATCAATATTCACCTAATTTAAGCACCAATTCTTCTACTTTCAATTTCAAATTTGGTAAACGCAAGTGCATATATATAGTATTATGTACCAGGATTAAAGCTAGAACGCATGGCAGAGAAAATTGATAACGCCAAGTCAATAATGTTCTGATTAAATGGAAATTTCAGTCCCAGAGAAAATTCGATCCAGAGAAAATTCACATCACAGAGAAATTTGGTTCAGAGAAATTCAGAATTTCTCTGGACTTCCCAGAGAAATTTCTCTCCAGAGAAATTCTCATCCTCTGGACCTCTGAATGTGAACGTGGTAAGAATGCAAGCATCAAACAACACTGATTTGCTTCTATTTTCCCTAACAGCAACAGGTTTAACTATTGTATCAACATCAATGATACTTCTGCAGGCATGTTTGTACACTTCATCCCATTATGTTTTCTCTTTTCAACATCATTTCTTGAAGCAAAGTATACCCATACATGATTTGCAGCTGGAGAAATATTTTTCAATATGGAACATTGATATTGCTTTGTGGAAGTTTGAGACCACCAAACACTATTGCATTGTCATTGATGCTTCTGGCCATCGTGATTTCATCAACTCTACCACTGGTAGTTTTGAAGCCGGTATTTCCAAGGATGGTCAGACGCCTGAGCAGCATGCTTTGCTTGCCTTCACTCTTGGTGTCAAGCAAATTATGGAAATTTCTCTAGCCTTTTCCAGAGAAATTCCCGAATTTCTCTGGATGAGAATTTCTCTGGAGAGAATAAAAGATGAAATCGAACTGCTCGAAGCTTAGTGAGATGGCGTAAAGATCAAATAGCGAGAGAAAGAGAGAGAGAGATGAATCATATTCATCTTCTCTGTATATTAGATGAGTCACATTATCTAAAACCCAATCTCCTTTGAAGAGGGGTTCAAACCAGAGAAAATTACACATGACAGAGAAAATTAAACATGGCAGAGAATTTCTCTCCAGAGAAATTCTAGAAAGGTCAGAGAAATTTTGGATTCCAATCTAGAGATTTTCTCTGGATTTTCAGAGAATTTCTTTGGATTTTCTCTGAATTTTCTTTGGATTTCAAGTGAACTATAAAGCATAAAGTTTGTTTGGTTGCCAAGAAAAAAAAGTGAAAAATAATTTCCATCCACAGAATACTATGCTAATTGATGATAAGTACCAAATTAAACCACATCTTTTCCCTTTTTCAAGCACAGTATTGTATCTTCATCATCTCACTATGATTACTAAGCGCATGAATAAAAAGAAATATAAAAAAAAAAATAGATACTTTTAATTGAACTTAATAATTTCATATCATAATAAGCAATGTGCATTAAAAGCAGTTGTGGCTCAGCATTACAATAACAAACAACACAATTTACAGCATAAAACATCAATATTCACCTAATTTAAGCACCAATTCTTCTACTTTTAGTTTCAAATTTGGTAAACGCAAGTGCATATATATAGTATTATGTACCAGGATTAAAGCTAGAACGCATGGCGGAGAAAACTGACAATGCCAAGTCAACAATGTTCCGATCAAACGCAGCAGATATGATCAAACAACAATCTAAACCGCTCACAACACCACCACCACTTGGATTCAAGTTTTCTTCGATCAAATCCAAGGCGTCATTTGCATTTTTCGATACAGAGACTCAATTAAGCAAGTCATCATCATTATTGAACAATTCGGAAACAAATATAGGCTCGGCGTAGAGGTCGAAGATGGCGTGGAATGAGCGGAGGAAGCTGAATTTGGACTCGAATTGGATGATCTCCCATTCGACGCGAGATATGTAGCCGTCCAAACGATGATTGCCCTTGACTTTGCCCATCTCTTCTCTCTAGGGTTTCGGAGAGAGAGAGAGAGAGAGTGCTGCTCTGCAGTAGAGGAGAAGAGGCAATGAGTCAAATTTCTCTGGTATATGTTTAGGTACCTTAGATATCAAAAAATAATTTTGTGGATCTCTTCCATTACTAAAAATGGGAGAGGGACCTTAGACTAATTTTTCCTCTTTTTTTTTGGTAATAAAAAAATTTAGGTGAAAGGAGGCTACCCAAATCCAAGGCCAGAGTGTGCCAACGAAGACTTATATTAGACCTATAGATCGCCTAATAAGAAAAACTACTGACAGCAGAAATTAAATCTAAACTTTGAAGGTGAAGTGTCACGCCCCTAACTTGCCCCTAAAAGTTTGGGCATGACCTAAACAGAAAATGACACTTAACCTGGTTTCATAGAGGGGCCTGCCCGGAAGCTATAAAACATAATTGATAAAAACCAGAAAGTATGACATTCATTGAGCTACTAAGTCATGCCAGGATCAAAAACATTTCACAGGTCAAGTACATCAAAAGCCAAAATACATTTAAGAGTTAGTTATTTACAAGCATATACAAAACTAACCCCGAGATGGGGTATATAACAAAAACATTAAGTACATAACAACTTAAGCCAATAGCAAAAGTGTGAGTCATCATCTAATAACTCCACAAAAGTAGGGTCCCGACCCCAAGCTTGGCTGTGCCTAGGCTGACAAAGGTATGACGATGCCGAGCTAAGATCGACCTCCTGGTTGATTACCTACAAAAACAGACATAACATAGGGTGAGCCAAGCTCAGTGAACAATAAGGGTGAGCCAAGCTCAGTGAACAATAGTACTAGTATGCTTGTAAACATATTTAATGCTGAAATCATGTAATTAGTCTGTCTCTGTACGGTTTGTTGGGACAACATAATCGGTTTATAATTGTCATAATGTGGCCCCTGGCCAAAAAAAATTCACATATTCAGAAAAGAGTCCTTGGGTTCATAATTTACAATTCATCACATAGACCTTTGGTTCTTTTGTTTCACAAGCTTACAATAGTATAAGTTCATATTTCACACATCGGTCCTTGACCTCATAAATTCATCATTCACACACGGCCCTTGGCCACATTGGTTCACATTTCACAAATGACCCTTGGTCACGTAGTTTCACATTAGGCTCGTAGCCGCATTGACTCACAAATGGCTCTAAGCCACATTGGTTCACAAATTCACAATTGCCTTGATACATTCCATTAGTTACAAGCTTCCACATAAGATGTGTACAACTTCACAACCTTTTTCAATGTTTCCACAATTTCGCATTGAATCACTTATAGCAAATATATCATTTCATGCCAACACAAGTTTGATAGTGAAGTTCGTAATGTCAAGATATAACGTCTATACATAATGTGATAAAACTTCCAACAAGGGTCACAACGTAATAAAAAATAAATACTGAGTAGGGATACATTGAAGTACTATCACTAACTGTGTTGTGGCAGTGCACTTCCTTTTGAGGTGTTTCCTACACACATGAAAAATCACATTAGTCCCTTTTTATCCTTGTTAAATCAACATTCGGTTCACTTACTTTGATTAAATTAACGAACTTTCAAACAATATAAATTGCAGGTTTTGACAACAATAGAGGACCCAACACGCAAAACGGAGCATCCCAACTTTTC